ATATATATATATATATATATATATATATGCGTGTGTGTGTTTATATACATATACAGTATATATATATATATATCTATCTCTCTCTCTCTATATATATATATATATATATATATATATAATATGTGTGGTGTGTGTGTGTGTGTGTGTGTGTGTGTGTGTGTGTGTGTGTGTGTGTGTGTGTGTGTGTGTGTTTATATACATATACAGTATACACACACACACACACACACACACACACACACATATATATATATATTTATATATTATATATATATATATATATATATATTATATATATATATATATATATATGCGTGTGTGTGTGTTTATATACATATATAGTATATTCATATATATATATATATATATATATATATATATATATATATATATATGTGTGTGTGTGTGTGTGTGTGTGTGTGTGTGTGTGTGTGTGTGTGTGTGTGTGTGTGTGTGGTGTGTGTGTGTGTGTGTGTGTGTGTGTTTATATACATATACAGTATATACATATTATATATATATATATATATATATATATATATATATATATATATATATATGTATATCCTATCCGTTCTCTTTCTACCACCCTCCCTCCCTCCTTCCCTTTCTCCACCCACCCCTCCCTTCCTTTTCTCCCACCCTCCCTCCGTCCTTCCTCTCCCCTCCCACCCTCACTATCTCACTCCCTCATTCACTCTCACTCTCTCCCTCCCTCTATACTTCCCTCCTCTCCTCAACCTCTCACTCTCTCCTTCCCTCCCTCCCTTTCCTCTCCTTCCTCCCTCCCCCTTTCCCCTCCTTCCCTCCCTTCCTCTCCCTCTCATATGAAAAGCACGGCATTATGTAGCAGCTGCAACACCTGCAAGACAACCACTTTACACATGCGTCGACGATTTACATTTCCCAACGTCCAGCTGCCTTTCGAAGGAGACAGAAAGCTGTCTATACAACACATTTCCGATTCCCGACGCAGCTGCATATCTACCTGTGAGAGCAACCAAACACACCTGCCTCTCCACAACGGACAGGTGGCTTCACACGTGGGATAAATACGGTATGATTAGAACAGGTGTCTTAAGGTGCGTGACTGATTCATTAACTGGGGGGGGGGGGGGAACTGTTTCCAAAGAGTTGCTCAATGTATGTAAGACTTACCTTGTAAACTTCCTTTTCTTTTTAGCTGAAAACTTTCCTTTAAAGGGTGTGTGACCTCTGTCGCTGCCTCGAAACAATGGAACGAATGGAGATAAGCATAAGTAAGTATAATTTGAAATGATCAAAAAAGAATGTATTTTCTCAGGGGGACTCTTTCAAGGTTAAAGGTGTATCATTTGACTTCTCTTTTTTTAGCTTTCTTTTCTACATCTCAATTTCCACCTTTTCTGCTCTTCCTTGTTTCCTCTATTTTCCTTTTTGTTTTCTTTCTTTCTTTCGATTTCTATATTTTCTGATCTTCCTGGTTTTCTATCTCTTCCTTCTGCATTTCGTTATTTTTTTCACTCTCATTTTATCGTATTTCCCTACACACCCTCCTCCTCTCCCTCCTTTTTCTCCTTCGTTCCTTCGTCACCCACCGCCCATCCATCTCTAGGACCCCTGGCTGGCTGTAGGAGCCCCCGTGTCTCGCCCTCCGCCGCCGCCTTCTTCAGGAACCTCAACAGAAGAGGTCTTGATGCTCTGCCCTTGCCTTGGTCTCGTGCCTTCGACCCGACCACCACCGAGGCTCTGCTTGGCTAACTTGAGGCTGTGTGTGTAATTCGAGACCTTGTGATCTTCGGGGTCAAGTCTCTCTCTCTCTTTCTTTCTTTCTTTCTTTCTTTCTTTCTTTCTTTCTTTCTTTCTCTCTCTCTCTTTCTTTCTTTCTTTCTTTCTCTCTCTCTTCTCTCTCTCTCTCTCTCTCTCTCTCTCTCTCTCTCTCTCTCTCTCTCTCTCTCTCTCTCTCTCTCAATTTTTCTTCGTCTTTTGCTTTCCTCTACTTGTTTGCCTTTTTATTGTTTTGTTTTGTTTTGTTGTTTTTCTCTGTTCGTTATTCTTTTTCATTAGTATCGTGAGTCGTTTGATTTACCTTTTGTTTGTTTGCTGATCGATTTCACTTAAATGTTGTTGTTGTTTTGTTCCCAGTCTAAATGCATTTGTTTCCCGTTTCTGGACTATTGTGGAAAGTCCAGTGTTTCAAAGGGCTAAAAAAATCGAGAAGTTGCTAAGTCATACCTGCGTATTTCGTGCTTCAGATAAATGTTTGTTTGTTTATTTGTTTGTGAGTCTTGTCTGTTCACCTGTTTGTTCTTCTGCTGGGGTATTTTCCCATGTTAGTTGTCTGTCTGTCCGTGTTTCCTAAAAAACAAACAAACATTTAATTCAGCCATTTAATAAATGTACTCACCCCCCCCTTTCCCCCTTTCTTTTTTCTCCATGATAACGTGAAATCCCCCCCCTCCTTTTTTTCTGTTTATAAGATTAAAAAAAATCCAAAATGTACCTTAAAAACGTCTAATACTTGACCGTTGATTATCCTGTTTTTACACCAAATATATGCATTGTTAGTATGAATTCACATTTCGACCATTTTCTGTTTTCTTTTGTTTTCATTTTCGAACCTCCGTTTTTTGGTTGTTGTCTTTTTCTTTCGTTTTGTTTGTCTCACGAAATTCCTTTTTTTTTTGCCTCACGAAATTCCGTATGCAAATGTGCCCGTGTAAATAGAAACGGTCAACTTTACCTACCCTTTAATGAACAGAATATCAGCCTCATTTAGGTTATTCTGGTTTGTTCACTTGCCGTGTGAAGAACAAGTTACTGTTCTGCATTCATGTGCTGGGCTTTTATTCTTTTGTTTACATTTCATTTCACTTCCTGGTTTTGGCGACAAAAGTTTTTTTTGTAGTTTTTTCTTTAGCATTATTGTTGTTATTGTTGTCCTTGTCATTATTGTTGGTGTTATTGTTATTAGCGTTATCATGATTATTAGCAATTTCATTATCGTTAACATTACCGTTATCATCATCATCATCATATCATTATTATCATTATCGTTACTTTTATTATTAGCCTTAATATCATTATTATCATTATCATTAATTATCCTTATTATCATCATTATCCTCATCATTTTATCATCGTTATCATTATTACCGTTTCCATCGTTATTACTATCATTACCATAATTATCATATCATCATTATCGCCGTTATGAAAGTTATTACTATTACCATCATTATCATTATCATCAAAATCCTCATCGTCACGAAAGTTATTACTATCATTACCATAACTGTCATTATCATTATCACCAAAATCCTCATCGTTATGAAAATCATGATCATTACTTATTCATACGTTCCACTATTGAGAAAGAATACATTAGCCAATTATGCTGGTATTCACTGTTCATTTTGAGATGTTGGTGATGATGGTGATGACGGTGGTGGTGGTGGTGGTGAGGGCAATGGTGGTGATGGTGATGATGGTCGTGAATGGTGATGATGGTGGTGGTTTCTCTCACTCCATCTCTCTCTCTCTCTCTCTCTCTCTCTCTCTCTCTCTCTCTCTCTCTCTCTCTCTCTCTCTCTCTCTCTCTCTCTCTCTCTTCTCTCTCTCTCTCTCTCTCTCTCTCTCTCTCTCTCTCTCTCTCTCTCTCTCTCTCTCTCTCTCTCTCTCTCTCTCTCTCTCTCTCTCTCAGAACCTTCTATCTTTTCCTATGAGAAGCACTCTTTGGTAGTGATACATCAAGGTTAATGCCATAATGTATTATTGATAGTAAACAAAGACTGGAATGGAATGGTATGTGCTCTGCACATGCACCTGCCTTTATATATACGTTGGTATGTATGTGTTTGTTTGTTTGTGTGTGTTTGTGTTTCTGTGTTTGTGTATTTGTGTGTGTGTGTGTGTGTTTGTGTGTTTAAGTGTATGTTGTGTTTATGTGTAAGTGTGTGTTTATGTGTATGTGTGTATTTATGTGTATGTGTGTGTTTATGTGCGTATTTGTGTGCATGTGTGTGTGTGCAAAGGGAACGACGAAGGGAAGGGCAAGAAAACACACGAATATGCCCTTCCCTTCGTCGTTCCCTTTGCAATCTGTTCAACATGAATTCCACATGTGTGTGTATATTCGTGTACATGTGTGTGTGTATCCGTTTGCATGTGTGTGCATGCATGCATGTGTGTGTGTGTGTGTGTATGCGTGTGCATGTGTGTGTGTGTGTATTCGTGTGCATGTGTGTGTATCCGTGTGCATGTGTGTGCATGCATGCATGTGTGTGTGTGTGTGTGTGTGTGTATGCGTGTGCATGTGTGTGTGTGTACCCTGTCTGTCTCTCTGAAAGTGTAGAGCCAGTCTGTCAACAGCAAGGCACTGATAGCCTCCCAGTATCGATCAACGTGCACCTACTGACATCTCCCTTCCCCTCATCCATGGCACATTCAGCTAAAGATGACATGGCAAACCCGGGTCATTCCAAGCACAGCGCATTCCAGGGCGTAGCAGCCCCCCCCCCCCATCGTAGTTCCCAAGCCTCTGGAACGAGTCGAAAGTTCGCCGCGTGCCAAGCGACTTCCGAGCGGCGAACCCTGCCTCGCTTCGGATCTAAAAATGCTTCCCCGAGGCCCCGACACGCAACAGGTGGGACCGAGGGAGACGCATCGACCTCGCCTTCGCACGGGAGTCTGTCGCAAAGGCAGGTGTAGCCGAGGGTGTGGAACTTCGCGACGGAGTTGTGCCCGCCGGCTGTAACAGGTGTTGTTGGCGAGGTGCGAGGTTCGGGGACCGTGCCTTCCCTCTCGCCCACGGAAGGAGAGGCTCGAACCCACCGCCCTCGGCACGCACCCTTCGCTCGGTGGCTCGCTGCTCTCACAACGCACCTGCCTCGCTGCCCTAAGTGTGGCTTGCAATGTGAGTGACGCCACACTGCCAGCTTTAAGAAACTGAATGGCGAGGGTGGGTGTGTCACCCTTCGGTGTTGACCTAGTAGATGCTTCGCACATGAGTCAAAACTTAC